TATCATATAGGACGAAGATAATTGTAGTGGAAAGCCTTCAGTTCTCGATTTAACAACACGTCCTGGGAAGTTTGAGTGGTTAAAAAGACACATATTAGAAGTGTTTATTTGTCTTGAATAAAGATGACATTATATGTAAGAGAGGGTGGATTATTGGGGGTTTACAAGTTAGCACTGAAGGGTAATTGATCTCTTACTCCCCACGTCTCATCTCGAAACTCTTATTTTGCATTCACTTTTTTTATAGATTAATATTGGAAATATCAGACACAGTTAATTACAAACTGAACAAATTAACTATTAAATTAAATGAAGATATTAATATATAACTTGTTATACTAATAAAACTCAACTTTATCGTCAACATAATTTTATAAGTAAATAACACACTCGTGTTCATGCACGGCCCCTTGAGAAAATATTAAGGGAAGTTAACTTGAGACTCGCATACAAATACCCGAACACCATTAAAAATAACCTACTTTCAAACAGAACCTCACTGTAAGATACGACATTTTTATTATAGCATATTCCAATTTTCTGACAAACATTATTGATGTGAAATTGAACAAAGTCATAACATAACAATTTCTTAACAGAAACAAATAATAAAAATAAACACGGAAAAACAAACAATATAACTTTGAGAGATTATGACCATCAAACAATTAGAATCAAAAAGAATTTTACAAAAAATGGTTAAATACATAATACAAAGAATTATCAAATGTTGCCTTCTCAAACGTCTGCCTAACTTCAATAACTTACATGGTCACTTCAAGATATACAACTTTCTGAAACCTCTGTTTATAAAGAAATTTGAAGTTGTTGACTCGTGTCCCTGCCAGAAAGAAATGTAAGGCTAAATGCTGTAAGTAAGTTTCAAGTCTTCCGATATATTGTTCCTTTCACTGTGAGTTTTCCATTAATTTTTTAACTGCTACATACAAGGAAATCTTTCAGCCACGGACACCATCACACTCGTAAGTCATCTGATGATAGAACATGGGAAGCATAGAAAAACTCCTTACACTAGAGACTCACTTTACTACAGGTTTTACACTCCTGGTATTAAGTTTTATGTCTGGCACGTAGTTTACATATCTTAATTAAAACATTTTCTGTAATACCTTATGTAACTATCCAGATAAAAATGTAAATAACATAAAATTGTGTTGATAACAAACTTGAGTTATGTTAGTATACCAAGATAAATATTGGTTTAATTTTTTATGCCAGTATCTTTGTGGAACTAATCCAAAATTAAAAAATGTATAATTGTATACAGTGTAAGCTGTGTTTCTGTGTGGGGTTGTATTAAGTCTCATGATTACATTTAAAATGTAGGGTTACGCAAAATAAGTTATTAACTGTTAAATATCAAAGTCCAGGATCTATTGTTGTTCACTGGTGGGTGAACAAACCTGATAGAGATGAAGAGTGAGATGGGGAAAGACCTAAATAGAGGAAAGGCAAGACAAAACTTTCCAGTAAGATGTCTTTCTTTGGAGGCCTAAAGGCATTCACTTATTCTTAGAAAAGTTTAGATGTCTCCAAAATAAAAAAAAATTGATCATACGAAACATATAATAGATGATTACATTTTCATTGTAGTGTGCTGAAGGGTATTTCATTTCGTTCCTAGATTATTTTGTGGGAGTGTTTTAAGTTTCACAAAATACACGTAACTATTTCTAGTAACGTGTGTGTACTTTTAAATTAACACTCTAGATTTACGGTAACACAAAAAATAGGCGTATTCTAAATACTGAACAAATCATAACTACTTATCAATCGATAGTAAGCGTTATTATACCTACATCTTTAAAAATTAAAGTTTGGATCTTGTCCTTAATTTTTTTTAATGACATTTACACGTGAAATGCATATCTGACTAAAGTAAAGGTCTGACTGATGCAATAATAAGTTATTACTGAATATAGGCCTATATCTATCTTGTGTTATTCAACTTATTGTAAAATATTGCATGAAAAACATACCCACAAAAACTTGATTATTTAATATTATATATTTTGTGCATTTTCCCCCACAATTTTATGAATACCGTCAAAAAATTACTAATTATTCAATATAATTAATCATGACTAAAGGTAGAAATTATTTAAATACAGTAAATCATCGTTGGATTATAAGTCTCGTATGAATACTACGACGTTGAATGAAATTATAAATTTAAAATTACACTTACAAAGCAACGATACAATTTGACTGAAACAGTATCTCAGTTCTCGTACAACAGTCCTAATTACATGACACAAAACAACGCCCACTACTTTTCATCCATTAATTCCTACTCACGTAGGCCTACAAAAATTACACTAAACAAACGTTTAGCAAAACCTAAACCACTTTAGAACATCCAAAGTGATATAGGAACATACGGACAATAAGTGTTCATGAGGGATAATTATTTATAACCTAGTTGGGTTTACATTTCGTATGGTGGACGAAAAAAAATGTGACATTATACTTATATATTCTTGAAAGAAAAAACTAAATTATTTACTATAACTAACTCAAATTTTTTTATAGGTTTTATTCTTATAAAATAAGATAAAAGTTTTTAAACTATCAGTATTTACTAAATGTTTTTTCTGGTACTATGACTACCATGAATTTATCAGTATAATTTTTCAGCGCACGTGACTTAAGTCTATAGGCCTTTACATACCGGACTCCACACTGATATTAGAATGTACATAGAGGTCAATGGTGTTTGACTTTTATGCTGTTAAAAGAAAAATGCATGTGACCATCAATTTGAAATTACTCGTCAAAAAATTGCTGATTTATACAATAAAAAAAACATTATGCATTGAATATGTGACAAAATTAAAAAATATGTAATCCTAACCGAAAGTAAAAAAAAAAACACTTTAAAATACTGATATTGTACAATTAATCCGATATTAAAATCAACATCAATTTAACACTTAACTCTTTTTATTTTATGAAATATCAACAATAAACACCTTTAGACTTTAGAAATCTTTAGACTGACCAATCACAGACCAGCAGACACCATTTGCAAAGCAACAAGAAACATAATTGTAGGTTAAGTTATTAGTGGTGAGTAAAGGACTGTATATAAAATAAAAACCAAATAAAACTGCCTCCATTCCGCCTTCTGTATTTATTTATTTACTTGCTTCGATCTTCGAAATAGCATTAATGAGCCGCAAATTCGGAAAACTAGTCGGTTGCAGCGAGATGAGCGAAACAAAAAAATAGGTTAAGCCTTCACTTTCCTTTACTGAAATTTGCATTCTGGTTGGAAAAGAAATGATTAAACAAGAAACATACCAAGTCAAAAGTTGTAAATCTGGTAAAATACTCGATTTTCATAAGTCTAGATGTTGTTGGTTATCTACATTTTGTCCACAGCGGGGAATCGAACTCCTGATTTAATTGTAAGATCGTAAACTTACCATTGGCCCATCAGAAGACTCTAATATTGAAATTTAGACTTTGATTATACAGTGATTACACTAATATGTAAATTATGTCAAGGAAGTATAATCACGCCAAAATCGGGGCCTGTACTTATAAGGCGCATAACAACCTCTTACGTTTGAGCTCTTGCCCTTTAATAATATATATATATATCTTAACAATTATATTACATCAGCTTCCTTATCTATTATCGACTATAAATAATTTCTTATATATAAAAGCGGCATATTTTTAATTTTTTAAATATCATTTTCTATTTATGTAGCCCCCCAGTGGCATGTCTGCGGATTTACAATGCTAGAAACTAGGTTTCGATACCCGTGGTGGGCAGAACACAGATAGCCCATTGTGTAGCTTTGTGCTTAACTTCAAAACAACAGCAACAACTATTTATGTAATTGG